AACTTGGACCCATGATTGTTAGAAGGAGGAAATTCCTACTGACATGCATCAGATTTTGCACTGCTGAGAAATAAACTTGTACTAGATGGCAGATTTCAGAATTATCTCTTCTCTCCTCTTTTATTCTATTACCATTCTAGAATAAAATTTCGATTTTATTTTATTTGATCCTAAACTACTATGTTACAATGTACTTGGAAAAATGAGTATATCTATCTAAGTAGATATTACCAGGGTAATATGCTATGGGCACTGGTGGAATAATCACAGAATATTTTTGGGGCATTGAGAAGAGGCCATGAACTCACTCTGAGAGGAGATTGTCCAGGGAAGATATGATTTCCTGCCTCCAACATTTCTTTCCATTCTCCCTCTTCTTCCCTGGATCCAGTTTTGAGCCAATATCAGGCAGAGGACTGTTCTGAACAGATGGTTGCCTAGATTGCTGTAGGCACAAAATCAAAGACCAAGTATCCATTTTTCCTCAGTGCAGGTGCCTGATACCATGGGATTTCTTCCTAACCATGATTCCTGAAAATACTGTATGAGACCTGAGGATACACGGCATCATGATTCCTTTACTTAGCATTGCTCAGAAAAAATAAACAAGAGAAAGAACTGTATCTGAAAGTTCTCTTGACTGTACAGTCTTGAATTACTTCTTTTATTAGGTGTTTTTTTGTTTCATTTCTTTCTGCATTCTTTGTCTATGTTCCTAATATCATAACATTTCCCTCCAGATCTTTCCCTAAGGCAGAGTTAACCAGAAAATGCACTATCTCCATTTATTCTATGCTCATTTATGCTCTTTTCCCCTCATTACTATGAGATTTGGATCCTGTTGCCAGGGGAAGTGTTAGTGTATCCCTTATCTTCCTTAACTGTATTTGTCCAGGGTCCTTCTGACATTATGTTGATTCCAGTTTTTAAGGTGAGAAGCAAGTGAGCCAATCCACAGTTATGACTTTTTCTGTTTGTTCTCATTCTCTCTCTCCTACAGTTTCTTGAGAATTTAGCAATATAACTATTTGATACATTCCCCTCTTCTTACCTACTGGATCCTCCACCCTCTGATGAACACTTTCCACTAAGTTACAGATCATATGGGTGAGGGACACTTGGTATGAGTATAGAATATCTAGTATTACTTTACCATATGAACAAGAGTTAAAATACCATTCTAGACATACCGTGGACATGAATTACCATGGGGATATCAAGGGAATTATAAATAATTTTATACTGAGGGAGGATGAATTAGATATAGAGGTTACTAATGTCATGCTAGTGGGTATTACGGCTCCTTGGGTGTGGGTTGAGTCATGATTTAGAATTGGATTCTAAGAGTTTCTAAGAGTTAGTATAGGATGTTCAAGCCTGAAGCAAACAAAGCTTCCAAGAACTGGAGAATCAATCTAAGTTAAAGTCTGTTAGAAGAAAGTCTAGATTCACCAGAAAGATCAGCACTAAATACCAAACTTAGAAGGCCCAAAGCAGGATCTGGGTTGAAGTCACATAGCCAAAACCACAGAGCCAGGAGAGGAGGAGATTGGAGCAAAGTCAGGTGGGGAACAGTGCAGGAGACTGCAGGCCAGAGTAGAGGCGCTAAAACCCAGGAATTCTTTGTGGTTTTCCTTTATGAACTAGTGGGCTCAAAAAGGGTACATATGGGATCAGGTGTGATGCAGGCCAAGGGCAGAGTGAACATATGGGAGATAAGATTGGAAAGAGGCCTGGAGATCTCATTATGAGAAATCTTGACTAAGGGATATATAACTTATTTTACTGGCCACATTAGAGTAAAAAAAGAATTTTAAATGGGAATGGGGAATAGTCTGATCTACACTTCAAGCAAGAGTGGGGAGGATCAGCCAGAGGAGTGGGAGACAGGATCTGCTGGTTAAGAGGTGATTTCTTTTGTTCAGGTGAGAGAAGATGGAGCCAACCTAGGACAGATAGTAGGATGGTGAGTGTTGGGCATTACTTAAGTGTGAACCAATTGAGAAAGTAGATTAATTAGCATCTTTGTCTAATTTATTGCATGTCTGGCATGGGGGAAAGTTGACTTGCAGATTTCTAGGTGGTTGGTAGTGTCAGTCACAGAGCTAGAGAGGTCCAAGGTGGGAGAGATCTTGAGAAGGAAGTTGAGCTTAGTTTTGGACATGAATACCTTTGTTGTTCACACAAGATATCCAGGTGCAGAGGTTGGTAGTGCAATACAACAAGTAAAAAGCTTTGTGAAAGGCCAGCCTAGAGACGTGGTGTGATGATCCTGGAGGGGAAGGAAGGCTCTTACCCACAGGAAGATAGTGAAAGGTGGGCTGAAGACAAACATCTTGAGTTTATTTTAAAGGCAGGAGAGAAAGCACCTAAAAGAAAGGAGAGGGATGGCATTTCTGGCCGGACTGGATGGACTAGTCTTGATTAAGTTTGAAAGGCCCAGACAGAGATAGGAACAGGAATAGAATACCTAAGGGTGTTTGCTCGAAACATTGAGGGAATTCTTCACGTAAGTAAGAAGTATGGTTTTCTGCTATATATTGGAGCAAGAACCAGCAAACTATTTTTGTTAAAGGTCAAATAGTCAGTAGTTTAGGTTTTATGGGCCCTGCCACAACCATGCCATTCTTACTGTGACATTCCAGGAGCCAAAGACAAGACCTTCAACAAATTTTGTTCTAATAAAACTATTTGAAATAAGCAGGGGGCTGAATTTAGCCTGCAAACCAGTGTTTGCTGTCCGTGCAGGCTGAGGCCTGGGTTGAAGATTTGAAGTAAGTTTTGGAGTTTGGATTCGTCCATGGAAAATGGGCAAGAATGAGTGCTGATCAGTGATAAGGGAGAGAATACAAGTTGAGCTGAGGGCCCAGTTGACATAAGCAAGTATGTGCTGGCTATGGCACCTTTGCATTGCTCTGTAAGTTTCTAGTGGTGTTACTCCCTCTTCTATGATCTCAGATCATTGCTTACATTTCTGGATAGTCAGAAGTGTCTCTCCCTGTAGACTGTGATAATTTTAATAAAAGATCTTTTTTTATTTTTTTGAATAGATCAGTTTTACTTGGTTTTCTGTTAAAGACCACATTCTTAACCATAGGCATTTCCCTCTCACCTTTCTGCAGCACAGTGAGAACTTTGTCCAGACCTGAGCTGCAACTGCCAGGCGCCTCTCCCTTCATGTTCAATCCAGCCAGGTCTTGTCCTATGAGGACTGGTGACTAATGTGGTGACTGTTAGCTGGTCAGAGGGGCTGAAGTCATACAGCAATTATGGCTCCACACACATGCACCCACTGTTTTATCTGTCTTCCTCTGCTCCCCCCACCATCTTCCTGTCTTGGGAACAAAAAACTTCTCTGACTTTCCATGGCCAACACAGCTGCCCAACTGGCTGAAAACACAGAAGTGAATGAAGTCAGTGAAAGAATGAGTCACTGCACAACAGTTCATTTACACTTGCCCCCGCCCTCCCCCACTGCCTCCTGACTTGGGATTTACTGCTTGGGAAGTAGCACTTTGCCATATCTCCAAGGGCCACGTGCAAGGAAGAGCCTTTGGGGGAGGAAGCAAGCCCCCTCCCCCCAACCACCGGCAAATTGGTTACTCACTCCTGGTGCATCTGTTCCTGTAACATCATTAGCGTCTAATGAGAGCATGGTGCCATGGTGGGGTTATAGGGCATGGGCTATGCCTGAGTGCTGTAGTGGTAGTTAAATATTTTCTGAAAAATGGACATACAACATAAATTCAAGATCTAAATCCATCCACTTCAGTTATAGATGAACATTTCTTGAGGTGTCACATATAGTGAATCTATAACCAGGAAGGGTCATAGGAAAAAGTATTAATCTTGTTTCCTGAAGCTATTGTTCATATTGATTTATGAGAAGTCATGAAGGTGGGCAATGGACAGTTTTATTTTTTTAAAGAAAGTGGCAGAGGCTTTTTTATTTAATGTCTATTTTTTTTTTTGACAGGCAGAGTGGACAGTGAGAGAGAGAGAGACAGAGAGAAAGGTCTTCCTTTGCCATTGGTTCACCCTCCAATGGCCGCCGCGATGGGCCGCCGCGGGCCGGCGCGGCTGCGGCCGGGCGCACCGCGCTGATCCGATGGCAGGAGCCAGGAGCCAGGTGCTTTTCCTGGTCTCCCATGGGGTGCAGGGCCCAAGCACCTGGGCCATCCTCCACTGCACTCCCTGGCCACAGCAGAGGGCTGGCCTGGAAGAGGGGCAACCGGGACAGAATCCGGCGCCCCAACCGGGACTAGAACCCGGTGTGCCGGCGCCGCTAGGCGGAGGATTAGCCTAGTGAGCCGCGGCGCCGGCCTTATTTAATGTCTATTTTAATCTACTTGAAAGACTGGGTGGCAGAGAGAAAAAGAAGTATCTTCGTCCCGCTTATTCACTCCCCAAATGCTCTCAACATCCAGGACTGGGCCAGGTTGAAACCAGAAGCCTGAAACTCCATCTGGGTCTCCCAAATAGGTGGCAGGGGCCCAAGCACTTTGAGCCGTTATCTGCTGCTTCCAGAAAGTTGGATTGGAAGCAGAGTTTTTGGGACTCAAACTAGCACTCCAAAATAGGATAGCAAATGGTGATTTCACTCACTGCACTACAAATGGCAACCTTGAAATGGACATCTTTGAGAGCAAATGACCTTGCCTTGTTATCTATGTTGAGGCTGTTAGTATTTACCGAAATGCTTTTATATGGATCAATGCTGGCATGGATTTAAAATCTGATACTAGATTTTTAGTAATAATAAAATCAGTGATCTGATTAATCAAAAACTTATATTCTAGCTATGATCTTTTTATGTAATGAGTTCCTCCTGTCTTGAAAATGATGCCACCCACACCATGAGAAGCTTAGAGTGGTTGAAAGTTGTCTTAGTTTTCATGTTGACCATGTCTCTTGCCGTTTTAGGTCCTTGGTCAACCTTCTGTAATCACAGCCCTTATGTTACCCTTTTTCAAAGGTGTCTTTTATCTTCTTTGTAACAGGCCTCCTGAGGGGATAGCACTTGAATTCTCAGACTGAGGAGAAGAGAAATAGACAAGACTGAAGCTGGAGGAGCAGCTGCTGGTCCACCCGCTGCCAAGGCTTGGCAGCAGTCTCCTGAGGAAGCAGTACGCACCTGGTTCACACAGGACCAGAACAGCTGGTCCAGCTTTTGACTGGCAGAGCATGGCTTCCTTCATCACCAATGTGACTGGGCCTGTGATCTTGCTACAGCCTGCTGAAACCGAGAGGGACGCAGTGAAAGCCGTACACCTCAGTGGAGCAGGTGCAAGTCACATTTCACTAATGAACAATGGGCACTTTGCACACAGGAGGCTTTGATCTGAACGCTAAAAAGCCCTTCTGTTGGACAGACTGTTGGCTGAGGCAGCAGCAGTGAGATGTATTAGGAAAGATCCTTTTTCCAAGAAAGTTGGGCAAGAGCTTTTGGTCAAATAATACTTGCAGAGGTAAGCTTTCTCATCTTTAGGGATCTTCTTGGGATAAAACAATATGCTTATGGGAGCGGAATATTCATGAAGCCATGGATCCCCATGATTTTTAGATGTAGTGCAAACCTCCAACTCTACCTCTACCACCTGCCACCACCACATCAGTACAATCTGTCTAACCCTTGTTTAAATACTTCTGATAATCATAGGACCCAGTAATGCTTTTAGTTCATTAATTGCTTGATTCTATGTTGGGACCATCCACCCTGTGAATTTCATCTCCATTAAGCTTAAATCTGTCTTCTACCCTTGGTTTCAGTTCTGCCCTATGGGGGAATGCAAAACAATCCACTTGAGGAGGAGCCCTCCAGATAGCTAAAGGCTGCTCATGTTTTCAGGAAATGTTAATAGAGCATATTTTAATAAATTTAAAACTTAATTAAAATAAATGATAAATAGACATGTGAATAAGTAACAAAAAATAAGATAAATTCCATCTTTATGAATTCAATGGTGCCTTCCCCCTGCAGTGACCTCAAAGACTGCAAATATGCTGTCTCCTCCCATTTAAAAAGATCAGCAGAATTGCAACCTTTTATGATGGAGAAGATGTTAGAGATCATCTTATTTCAAACTTCATGTCACAGGAGAGAAAGCAGAGACTCACAGGATTGAACTCACATAGTTAATTCAGAGTTGATCAGGGCAGTCTGGGGCTTGTGTTCTGTGCCATGCTGCCTGAATGATGTCTGTGATCAAGGGCAGGAATGACTGTGGTTCTCAGCAAATTATCCATCACAATATTTAAAAAATTAAAAAAAATATTTTCTTGAAAGGTGGAGAGACAGACCAACATATCCCCACACGTGGATATACACACAAATACACACACACACACACAGAGGGAGAGAGAGAGAGACAGAGTGAGAGAGAGCGAGCTTGCATCTACCTTTTTATTCCTCAAGTGCCTGCAGCAACCGGTGCTTGGCCAGGTCAAACTCAGGAGCTGGGAACTCAATATAGATCTCCTATGTGAATGACAGGGACCCAAATTCTTGAGTCATCACCTGCTGCCTCCCAGGATGCATTAGTAGGAAGCTGGAGTTGCAAACAGCCAGGACTCAAACCCCTCCACTTTTTCCCAGCAGTGCCTTAACTTCTATGCCTAACACCTGCCCGTATCTGCATTTCAAGCACGGGGTACTTCTGTCAACTCAACTTCCTTCCCCTACAACCTGCTCCCAGAGGATAATCTGCATGTGAGTTTCAGTCAACTAATTTCCATTCTGGTGTGTATTTGCATCCTTGCCTCTCATTGTTCATTGAGAAGAGCAGAGCTTTTGGTAAGTGATAGGAGGCTTTATAAAGCAAATGAGAGGGCTGTTCAAGGGAGAAAGTAAAGGTGGTATTGCATGTAAGGATAAGGTCTACTTGTGGCAAGAACTGGGGCATCTTCAATGCTAAGGAGAGACACACAGAGCATATTCTTTCCATGTGAACTCTCTAAGCATGACTGTGGGCACAACTGGTGTGTGTTAGGAGACAATAGCAAAGAAGTAAACTAGCACAAATTACTGCTCAAAAGCTGATTATGCCAGGGGTCAGGTGGTTTCGTGCTGACAGAAATATAATCACATGGTCATCATCCATGGGTCTGAATTATAAGGCAACAACACTATAGAGTGGCTATTGCACCTGAGTTCAGAAGCTTTCAAGTCAGAGGCAGAGGAATAGGAGATAGACCTTTAACTGGTCAGGTGCAGTTGAGTGAAGGTTATGCAACATTGAAGCTTGCAGGGACAGGTGTGAAAGCTAGGAGTGGAAACGGATCTATGATGATCCCCTGGGGGAAAGGCGTAGAGAAGTGGCCGAAGCCTAATGCAGGCAGATTTTCAGCCATTGTGGTCCCAGCCATTGTGCTTGGGAAGGTTTCTTATGGCCATTCTGCGTTAACTCAGAATCCGTGGGAAAATTGTGTTTCAGAGATTTACACCATTGTGAACCAATCCTGGATAAAATCTGGGATCAGAAGCTTGTTTGGTGGGATCCCTACAGCAGACTCAGTGGCTCCCAGCTGGAAGGGCCCCCCTGCCTAACGCTCTGCCTCTCCTTGTCAGAACTGCTAGGGAGCCAATTAGGGTCAGCCCTGGCGCTGTCAGACCTCTGTGACTCCTGCTGAACAGGACTAAGGAAGGCAGAAATCACTACTATCTCGATCTGTCCCATGTCCCATGCTCCCTGGACCTACTGTTTGTTAAGGAGCTCGTCAATTAATTTTGCAATTAATTTTGTGAATTAGAATATATATAATGTCATCAGAAAACATTTGGCATTAGAATGGGAAGGAGCAAGACAAGTGAATTTGCTCAAAGGAATGGGAAGTTGAAAATTGCGTGTGTGTGTGTGTGTGTGAGTGTGCATGAGGGAGGGAGGTAGAGAGAGGGAGGGAGGGAGAGAGGGAGAGAGGGAGGGAGGGAGAGAGGGAGAGAGGAAGGGAGGGAGAGAGGGAGAGAGGGAGAGAGAGAATTAGGCTGACAAGCTATCTTTCATGAGAACTGGAGTTATAATCACAAGGTGGAGACTATATTCCATATCTCTCCATGTCCTCTGAGTTCCTGCATGTCTCCTTTTATTTTTTTTTTTATTTTTTGACAGGCAGAGTGGACAGTGAGAGAGAGAGACAGAGAGAAAGGTCTTCCTTTGCTGTTGGTTCACCCTCCAATGGCCGCCGCGGCCGGAGCGCTGCGGCCAGCGCACCGCGCTGATCCAATGGCAGGAGCCAGGTGCTTATCCTGGTCTCCCATGGGGTGCAGGGCCCAAGTACTTGGGCCATCCTCCACTGCCTTCCCGGGCCACAGCAGAGAGCTGGCCTGGAAGAGGGGCAACCGGGACAGAATCCGGAGCCCTGACCGGGACTAGAACCCGGTGTGCCGGCGCCGCAAGGTGGAGGATTAGCCTAGTGAGCCGCGGCGCCGGCTCCTTTTATTTTTTTTTTAAGAAAAAGATTTATTTATTTATTTTTTATATGAAAGGCAGTTGAAAGGGAGAGAGAAGGAGAAAAGAGATCTATCCCTTGGTTCGCTCCCCAAATGGCCTCAATAGCCAGGGCAGGGTCTGGCCTAAACGAGGCGCTTCTTCGGAGACTCCCATGAAGGTGCAGGGCCATCATCCATTGCTTTCCCAGGTGCATTAGTAGGGAACTGGATGGGAAGTGGAGCATGTGGGACTCGAACCTGCATCCATATGGGATGCCAGCACTGCACAGTGGCTTTAACCCATTGTGCCACAGCACTGGCCCCATGCATGTCTTTTTACCACCTTCAGAAAAGACTGCCTCTGACGGTGTGCCATTGCCATTGTTTTCATCAGTGTTAAGTGTTTTCAGGAGCACTCCACTCAACAATCTTATTTGCCTAATCGATTACATTTGACTCAGGGGATTGTCTTCTCCCCCTCCCCTCCGCTCCCTTCCATGTCTGTTTTTGTTTGAATTTGTTGTTTTTAATTCAGTTGATGGCTTCCATTAAATAATTTTTTGAGACTATGCTGTTTTTAACACTTAAAAATGTACAGTTGTGTGAACAGTGACAGGCCAGCTTTCTGCCTTCTCTTTTGGATTTGAACTCTGCTTTTCATTCAAAATTTTCATGGTAGAGTTGGGACCTTAACATCCTAAATGTGTCTGCTTTCTACCTTTCAGTGGGGCACCTGCATTGCTTTATTAGGCTTCAAGTTGGTGAATGTTAATTTTTTTTTTTTCTCATAGCTTCCTCACAGAGGTTGGGAAGGGTATGAGTTGGTTTTTAGAAATTTTACTAATTCTGGCCGGCGCTGCGGCTCACTAGGCTGATCTTCTGCCTTGCGCGCTGGCACCCTGGGTTCTAGTCCCAGTTGGGGCACCAGATTCTGTCCCAGTTGTTCCTCTTCCAGTCCATCTCTCTGCTGTGGCCCAGGAAGGCAGTGGAGGATGGCCCAAGTGCTTGGGCCCTGCACCCACATGGGAGACCAGGAGAGAGCACCTGGCTCCTGGCTTCGGATCGGCGCAGCGTGCCGGCAATGACGGCCTTTTGGGGAGTGAACCAATGGAAGGAAGAACTTTCTCTCTGTCTCTCTCTCTCTCACTGTCTAACTTTGCCTGTCAAAAAATTTTTTTTTTTACTATTTCCCCTTCATAATTTTTTTTCAAATTTCTTCTCCCATTTAATATTCACTTTGTCCATGTCTTTTTTTTTGTATTTTGTTTATAGAGTCTGTTTCACAATTCTTTATTTTTCCTTTGCTATGGTTGGAAATTTTGCAGTGAGATTTTCAACCTTTATCCTGATGTTTTGCAATTTATATTTTATATTGTTTTGTAATTTGTATTTTGAATTTTGTTGCAATCCCAAATTGCATAAATGCTGTCTTAGTCCATTTTCTGTTGCTGTAACCACAGACTGGATAATTTACAAAGAAGGGAAGTTTATTTGGCTTACAGTGCTGGAGGCTGGGAAGCCCAAGAGCATGGAGATGGCTCCTGGTGAGGGGCTTCTGACTGCATCATAACACAGCAAAGGATTTTCATAGTGAGACAGAGCAAGTGTGTTAGCTCAAGTGTCAGTTCTTCTTCTTCTTTACTAAAAAGATTATTTATTATTTGAGAGGTAGAGTTACAGAGAGAGGGGAGAGGCAGAGAAATATTTTTCATCTGCTGGTTCACTCCCCAGATGGCCTCAATGGCTGGAGCTGGGCCAATCCCAAGCCAGGAACCAGGAGCTTCTTCTGGGTCTCCCACGTGGATGCAGGGGCCCACGCACTTGGGCCGTCTTCCACTGCTTTCCCAGGTCTTAATGGAGAGCTGAAATGGAAGAGGAGCAGTGGGAACAGTAACTGACGCCCATATGGGATAGTGGTGCTGCAGGTGGGGGCTTAGCCTATCAGGCCACAGCACCAGCCCCAAATCCTTCTTTTCATAAAGCCACTGATGCCATCACAAAGATACTACCCTCATGATCTAATCTAATTCTAACTACTTCTCAAAGGCCCCACCTTCAAATACCATCAATATAAGAATTTGAGGATTAAGTTTCCAACACATGAACTTTTGATGGACATATTCAAACCACAACAAATGCCTATTTCAGCTCTCAAGAGAGAGATTTATAAAACATTCAGATTTGCTTGTTTATCCAATTTGTCTTCATTTTCATCAGAGAATCCCCTGGGCTCATATGGGTAGGAAGATGATAGTGCTTAACATCCTTTCTTATATATTTTTGACTCATTGGTTGTTTTCCCCTTAGCCTGGTTCTGCTTGGCTCCAAGAGATTTTGGACAGTTAAACAACCTGGAAATGTATCACAAGTTGAAAACAAAATTCTTGGAAAAGCAAATTTTATTTTGTGGCGAAGCAGTAGAGCAAGCTCTCTTGTCCACCCATGGCGCTCTAGGCTCATGTTATGAACAGAATTGGTTCCAATTTTTGCACCTTGAGATACTCCTGAGAATCTGTGTAGGACTTCCTGTGAATATCTCTCCTGTGTTAACTGGAAAGTGATCTGTATTCTATTCTCCAGCCACTTGAAGTTGTCTGCTACCTAGCACAGCATGAGCCTGGGGGACAGTTGGCTGTTAATATATATTTAATAAACAAATAGATAAATACACTTTTTGGCCCTGATGCTATAGATGGTAGGTATCCAAAATGTGTTTATAAATAATCGCTAGTGATGCATTTAAAAACTAGTAACCACCTATAATTCTACATATTTTGATGCATCTGAAACTTGTCCATTTTTCCATTATTATATGTAATTCTTGATTTTGTCTTTTGGAAACAAATAGGAAAAAAACTCCTAGTATTGTTTAGTGTTTTTGAGCATGGCTTATGAGAACTGCACTATAAAGACAGACTCAATACCACAGTGAATGTGTATTTACTAACAAACCTGGCTGGAATGACTATTAGCTCTGATATGGAGAAAGATGGAGAGTGACCAGGTTGTTGTATCTGTGAAGAGAAAACAGCTTACTTTAAAACTTTTCTCGGGTGTGGTCCTCTGCATGTGGTCCTCTGGTGCAGCTCACTGCTACATCTCTAACTTACATCACATGGTATAGACACAGGCAAGGTAGTATTTTCTTGCTTGAATGGCAGATAACTGAGGCTTTAGTGTTATGCTTGGTAATACAGTGATAACCTGAAGATAAAAATCCAAAGATGAATACTGTAACTGTTGTTCTCAAGCATTAATTGTTTACTGAAAGCAAGAAGGGGTAA